AAGATGAAGAGCTTCGTTGCACTTGCTGCTGCTCTTGCAGCATTTGCTCCTTTCTCTGGAGCTGGCGATGCTGACGTTGCCGAGCCTGTATTCCCCGTGGTAGAGCAGGAAGGCACTGGTAGTTTTAGAGCGAAAAAGCTGAGAGTAGTATTTCCGCCCCGTTCGTGCGCAAGTGTCTGGTCCTTATTGGGGGCAAAAAATGGAAGAAGATGCCAAATGAAGAATTCAATGCGATGCATGTTACTAACCAGCGGCAAGAGAACCAAGTTATGCTTAACTACCGGTCTGAAGAGATCAGCAGGGGCGCGCGTGGAGCAAATCAAAAACTCCGAACATGGATGGTAGCCAAAAGGTACAAAAAACTCTCATGTTCCGCAACGCCGCATGTGAATGCCACTCAGCATGAAGAAACTGAGGTTAATGGCCTAGTTCTGGGTTATTTACGCAGCACCCAGTGTGAGCTTGAGCCGAGGCCTTCATAAAAATGACGTCTGCCAGGATGAGTTGAAGCGTGAGCTTAACTTTGTCTGCTGGAGCTGCAAATGATGCAGAACATACTACAAAAGACGCATGGAAGCATATGGCAAGCCGGCGGCAGCTTCAAACCGATGGTACCCACGCACTTTAGCATTCGCAGGTAATCACTCGTCGACTACAACGTACCAGTTTATTATAGTCCTCCCGTGATAACTGTCGAGTGGTCTGCAAATACAAAGGAAGACGCATGGTATCAGGCGAACGCCCACTTAACAAAATGAATGTTGTGGAACACTCCTTTGAAGCTGCCCTCACAATTTCCCCCTATCTGCAGCCTGAGAAAGAAGCTAGCCGGCGCTGCAGTAGTGTCTGCACATCCTTGCCTGCAGGTCACGGTCCCTATCAAATCGCTGCCACGGTTGGCCCTTCTTGGCATCGTCTTGCTGCAGCGACCAGCAGACAGCACCCCAAACCAATAAATAACTCATCATCCGCTAGCCGATTTTCCAGTAGTGCTTGTTGCCCTTTATCGTCGAATCGTCACAGTGGGACCAGGACCAAAGCACCGCTGTACTAATCACAGCAGCGGACAATAAAATAATTTGGGCATCGACTACTCACAAAATCCTGTTCAGCAGCCTGCTCTGCCGCCCGCTTTCCCCAAACATTTCGAGCCGCCTCCATGCTGCGTTTCCAGCGCTTATATGCTTCTTCGCCCTCTGCAAATTCACCTGTTTGGCAAACGGAAGAAGCAGCGCAAGACTTGCTCTTGTGTGACTTTGTACGCTCCTCTGTGCATGTGCGCAGTGACCGGTATGGCGACTTGGCTGCTTGGGGGTGGTAAAGGGGCAGAGCCTTCACTGGCGAACGGGGGGTGCATGCGGCGAACCTTCCTCCTTAAGTTCTCGAAGACTCTTAACTCTTCGTGCTTTGTTCCACTCTTCCATGATCGCACTGATCCGCACAGCTTCCTCGTCATCTTTCTTTTTCTGCTGCAAGATTTCTGCGCCGATTCCCAACACCGCAACTCATACATCTGCACGAGTCACAATATCCACTTCAAGTTCACGAGAATGCCCACTCAAACACCCGAAAGTGCACAGGCGACACATGCCACTCAAACATCCGAAAGTGCACAGGCGACACATGCTCCAAACGGTGCCATTAAGGGATTTTCTTACGCATTCTTCTTGCGTCAGGCCCTTCCTGTGTAGCCAGGCAACGGAGATAGGCTGGGGCTACAAGCATCCATTCCTCTCTCTGTCGGCGAGCACAACAAACGCCGCTCGGACGGCTGCCCCAGTTTATCCCCGCACCAACCAACTCCGCCAATGGACTGCCATGCACTTGTTCCAGCGCGAAAAGTAGCTAAGGAGACAAATACCCGGACTAACACCACAGGTAACATCAGGCGTGAAACTATCGGATCGTTCTACTCCAAAAATACAACGCCTACACCGGACTTTACTTCGGCAGGCGCCGTTTGCTGCGCAGATGCTCCCTCAGAAACAGAACCAGCTGAGAGTCCGTGAAGTTCGGAATGTTGGGCACGCCAACGTTGCACAGCTTCTTCCGCCTTGCGTTCCGCCTTCTCGGAGTCGAACCTTAACTCTCCAACGCACTGTTCCTCCTTAACCTCTGAGGCTTCAGGAGGGCCAACATCAGCTGGAGAGCTCGACATCTCAAGCCGTGAATGAAGCTCCTTGCAGCGACGCTTCACAAACTTCGCAAGTGACATTTTACATGAAAGCAGCTTCCTCCACCCTTTACCTTGATCACCCTCAACCTGCGAAACATCTTACAAAGTATCTGCTAATGGCATCCGCAGATGTGCCGAAATGCAGTCTTCTAGCATATGTGCAGCTTGAGTGATTTGCCGGCTGCATACGGCTAGACGTATGCAGCCGGCAAATCACTGTCTTGAGAAAGAGCTTTCAAACGTATGATCGGGTGTCTCGAATTCAATCCAAAGGAAAAAACAAGCCTGGTCATGAATACTTTGCTACAAGTGGACATCGCACATGGCCGCACCTCGCTGACAAAAAGGGCCCGGAAAAGGTGCCGAAGCTTCTTTCGCAACCGGATATCACGGAGATCATTCAAATACACGATGCCCCATGAATCCAGTTGTCTAAATACGTCCAGAAGCTGCATCGAAAGGGGATAAGACAAGCTCAACCAAGTTTCCACTCAAAAGCTCTGACTGCAGCACTTCTAACTGGCCAGGAGTGTGGAACTCACATTCACAATGCGGCTTGATGTGAGCCACTCACTTCTGTCTCCATCTGCGGAGAAAGCTGCAACAGCGAGATAAGTAGGCGATCTACATCTTCTTGTTCGTATTGGTCCTGGAAAGTTTCAGGAGAACGCGCCTCAAGGAAAAGAATCAGCCGAACAAGCGGTTCAACATGTGGGGATCGCCTCACACACACAGTGAATAGCTACATATTCTGCAGTTCGCTAGATGCTTTGAACAACAACACCTCATTAGGAACCTGACACTGCCCACAAGTTGGCAATGGTTCTTTTCTTCTTCGCTCCCTGAGTGCTTGCCGCGCTTTTTCTTCCGAGAAGATTTCTTGTCTTTCCTGGCCTTTCGTTTCTTGCAGCTCTCGTTGCTGCGTCTCCCATCATCACTGCTGCATTCCCTGGGAAAGCCCATGCCTGTAGGTAAGGGTTGGGCGGGAGCGGCTTCCCTAGTTCTGGGGAGAGATGAAAGTGGCGCTGCAAGTCTTTGCGCCGCAAGTTCTAAGTCGGCTCGCTCGCCAAGGCAGCAGTACCAAAATTCCCCCTGCAGAGTTTTACTGTCCTGTGCATCCACAGGGGTAAACAAGCAAAGCGGTGTTGCAATATACCACAACAATTCATTCGCTGCTGCTCAGCAAGCCAGCACGGAGGGACTCCGCAAAATCACAAGGAGGTGTCTGTTCGCTGTGCAGCGAAGAACAAAAGCTATCGAAAAACAAAGCCTCCAGGTTCTTACGAATGAGCGGAGCGCTACGTCAATCATTAAACGGATATTTCAATGAATAAAACGCACGTCTAAATCGGCGAAGTGGAGAAAGGGCAAACCACAACAGTCCAGGTCCAAATCCGGGCTTTTGACTGTGGGAAACCCTTCAATAGCCAAAATTAGGAGTGTTTGAGAGAACTCGCGAGACTTTCAAGCTTCAGATGTTGTAGAAAGCAAAAGCAGAAGGAGGAGCAGCAAGCCCGCACGGTTACTATAGCATCCAAATGTGGGCGCATGCAGAGAGTCGGGGCACCCTAGTCTCAAACACACATCATCCAACGAAGTATATGGATGAGATTTGTTCAGTCAATGGTTTTCAGGAAGCCCACAACAGCCAATTACTGTCTAGCCGCTATGCATTGTCAACAGGCGTCGGGGCAACTTGCTCGGTTGGGGCCTTCAGGCGGGGCAAAACCAAGATATATTTCAGCATCAAAAGCAACATAGCAACTTTGTTTGCACATTTCTAGGCGCATTTAGTGTTGTACCTGTCCTAACAGCGGCAGGCGTCCCGGTATAACCCCTGTTAAACACCCTGTCCTGAGTTCGTGAACCGAAGGGTCCCACCAACAGCGGAAAGACACATTCTGTCTAATTCACTACTCTTCAGTGTTCGCTTCTGCCGAGAAAAGGGAAGGTTGTACAAAGGGGAATCAAGGATAGAGTCTAAGGAAGGGTGCACAGCAGCGCGGGGACCCGCCGGCTGTGACAGCCTTGCAGCACAGCATCCGTCGAAGGCGACGCGTTTCTCCTTTTGCTCGGCGTGTTATATACAGTGCATTTTCGGGGGGAAGTTCAAACCCTTCTCCCTCCCACTCTTCCGTGCCTAACCAGCGTATTCATCTTTTTGAGCGCAACACCTACTCCTGCAAAGAATGGAATTGGCATCTACGAGCGTTGTAGTGGACATTGGGGCGGCAAGTACTCGCGTGGGATATGCGGGTGAGGGGAATCCCTATCAGCTGCTGAATTCGTGCATTGGAGTTCGACAGCCCTGCAACCCCGTCGGGAATTCAAACACCACCGGCGGTAACCGAAATGGCGGAATTCGCGAAATTATCTTCCCGCTCAACTTCTCCGAACGACGTGACGGAGTGGAAGTGGTGTCTGCACTCTTCCCGACCTGGTACGGGTCTAGTGGGAAACGGAAAGGCGACTCAAGCCCTTCATATACGCTAAACGAAGAGGCTTTTGAGACCCTTGTAGCGCTCAGTTGCACAGGAGCACGCTCCCATCGTCTTAGATTCAGAGAAGGGGGCATTCCGGCGGATGGTTCAAGTGCCAATGGCATAGGTACTACGCTCCACAGCAACTTGCGCCTGACGGAGTTGTGCGGTATCGGGGCAGACCTGCGGGAGCAGCCATTGCTCATTTCCGAACCAAATATACACTGCCGAAGCATAAGGGAGAAGATGGCTGAAATACTTTTTGAAGGGCTGCAAGTAGGATCTCTGTACACCGCGAAACGGGCACTTTTGTCATGTGTTGCTCTTGGAAGGAGTAGCGCAATGGTCATCGACGTGGGGGCATCTGGTCTTTCCATTGCTCCAGTTTCAGATTCATTTGTCTTAGACCAGCATGTTGCAGAGTGGCCGGTTGGCGGTGACGCAATGAGCCAGTTACTTGGCACAGTCCTGATGGGGCACAACTACCCTGTACACCCCAGCTTTGCCCGCTTCTCCGCTCACGGTCGGATGTCCAAAATTGCACTAGACAGGCCTGGGGATTGGGACAACATTCATGCTTCGTACATGCACTGGAGGTAAGCTACCGAGCAGGAAATACACCGACGGAGTGTAGCGTTGCTGAGGTGATTGGGCACCTTCGATGCACATGTACAAGGTTGTTTGTGTAGCTCGTGGCCCCACTGTGCGCAACTGCCTGCGCTCCACTTGTTGCCCGTTGCCTTCAACATGGTCGTTGGTTTAGTGACACGGCCGCCCATCTCAGAGCAGAGCATCTGGATTGTAGGCTATGCCTGTATTCATCGAAGGAGGTGGGGAGCTACCAGCCACATTTCGGCTGTGGGTCTTGTGTTTGTGTGCAGCCGCATGCAAACACTGTCCTTTATAAAGGAAGGGTTGTGCCGCGTGGCGGACGACCCACGCGATGTGACCTTTGCGCGGAAGCCCATTGTACTACCAAGCCAGCAGCAACAGGCCAAAAGACGTGGGGGTGCTGCAGCTGCGTCCCCAGATTGTCCCGTCACATCCCAGCTCCTGTTCCCATGTTTGTCAGGACCCTCCGCTGCTGCGTTGCTCTCAAGCGCCAGTGGGAGCGAAGGGGGAGTCATGGAGCTGCCGGACGGCACACGCCTTGAGGCTGATCAAGTATCCATGAAGGCAGGTCACAACACAAATGCAAATTTAAGTGTCGAGTAACCTTTGATTTGGAACATTGCTTACTTCTTAAAAACGTGCATTGTGCATGACATAACTTATCTGTATAACTCTTGTTGCCAAGTGGACTTGGGGCAGGGCTGTAGTTTAGGCGCAGCACACACCCATGTAATTGGTTGCTTTAGGTCCTTCGCATAAACGCCAAGCCTATCTTTCTGTGTGTTGATGCAGATTCCTGAGATACTATTTTATCCTGCACTTCTTTCATTAGTGCCAGGTGGTGGTGGTGGCTTTCCAGGCCTGCCGGAGGCAGTGCGACAGGTGGCTGAGGCGGTTGAGACCGATGGTAATCGCGACATTCTTAGCGTACTGATTCTCACAGGAGGCTGCTCCTGCATACCGGGTGTGTGTTAGGACACGTTCCTCTTGTCCGTGATGTTTCTCCCTCCATACTGGAGCAAACAGGCCCTGAGGGCTCCCGACAAGATGCGTTAAACCGCTTTTGCGGCTCACGCGCCTCCGTCTGGCTGAAGGAAAAAAACACTACGGTTTTGCTGTATTGTGTGCTGCGCATGACTTTAGGAATGGTTGAGAGGGTTAACCGCGAGTTGGTAGACGATCCCGCAGTTTGTGGAGGCCAGAAGGTTCGGCTGCTTGCTGTGCCTGGGTCGCAGGAGCGCCGCTTCTCAGCGTGGGTTGGAGGCTCGATGCTGGCAAGTCTGAGTTCCTTCCAGGCTGCTTGGTGCAGCCGTGAGGAGTATGAAGAACACGGGCCAGCGGTAGTTCAGCGAAAATGCTACTAGCGGAGACTCCTCAGGAGCTTGAGCGATTTCATGTAGCCGTTGTCGTACACATGCTAGGCCTTCGTTTTTTCCTAGCGAAGTGACGACGCATGTGGTCTTTGGTGCAACAAACGGAGTCGCGAAACTGTGCGACTCATCAGCCGTGGGCACAAACCATGCATAGAGAGGCGTGTAGAGGCTGGCCGATGCAAAGGATTGCCGAGTCTGCCCGTTCGGGAGAGGCGAAATGCTTGTTCGCACTTGCCATGTTCGTAGTCCACGATGGTAATGGCACTGGCGACCCACATGCACAGGGTTTGTACAGCACCGAGATGGTTCTTATGTATATCAGAGGCATGCGTAACGCAGCAGAGGCGCCTCTTGTAGACCAGAACAGACGGGGCTGTGGCATTGCTGATTCCCCATTGTGGCTGCTCTTTGGTGGCAACAGCCATAATTCAGAAGTGCGAGTACAGCCTTGCACACGTGAGTATCCAACTACTCTCTTTGTCTTAACTAATTGGATCTACTCAGCCGCCTGCAAGTAAGGCTGCGGAGCGCCCCCCACTTCCACAGCAGCAACAATGGCACATGATACTGGCTCTGCTGAAATGAACTGTTATCTTCGTTGTGCTGTAATACGAAGACGGACGAAGAGTCATTGTTTTCATTTGATGTCTGGTTCGTGAGATGACCGGAATCTCAAATGAATGCCAGGTTGTCCTGCAAGACTTTTCCTGTTAGCCTTCAACACCGCACTGCATCCCTGCAGGGCCACTCCAACCTGAAGTCAGGCTTCTAGCATTTTTGTTAAGCAAATGCCCCCATAACATTTTGTAGCCGCTTTCTAATGGTGCTTTCCCTCGTCATTCAGTTTCCCAGCTGGAAAGCGGCATTACCCTGCAACCAGTGAGGTGCGCTGCGTAGTGGAGGATACACATCTTTTGTCCGACGAATCGGGCAACAGTAGTGCAATGAAGATTCTTTCAGAAGAGGTTTCCTGTATATTAGTCTTCCCTCATATGCCATAGAGAACGCGTTGAGATTGCGACAGTTGCGGATAGCAAGCCAGGCTGCGCATTTAGTGGCCCTGGATCAACTGGAACCTGCTGCGTATAAGCACTCTTACTGTGTCGAACACCGCGCTCGACGTGCCTAACTTGTGAACTGGGCAGAGACGCACTCCCCTATATGCAAGAACTCCTGCTGCAGTTCAGTCACTTCACGGGAGCACGCTTTTCACACTTGGAGTTTCCCTGCGCATTTGTCCTTTGAAACAGGGTATCTAAAATTGTCACAGCTCTTCGAGCCCGCATAACTAGGGCTTGCATACGCAGTAGTGGCTCGATTGGAGTGGAGGGTGTGTAGTCAACGCGGTGTAGGGGACGCACCGCGCGGCTTCACGGAAACTCTTCCAATTCTGCAAAACACGCAGATAGTTGGAGCCAGACTTGAGCAGATAGGGACGTTTTGCCTATCCCCTGAAAATGGCCAAGAAACATGTCCGAAGGATTTGAGTAGGCGTTTGTCCATGGGGCCTGCTGCCCACTGGGCTGTTTCAAACGGCCACACTTTGCTGACGGAACAGAAGGTACCCCTACTACTAATAGGTAACCTTGGTTCTTGTACTTGTTTCTGCTGACTTCTGTTGAAGAACAAACAAGCTAACGATAGAGGTGTTTTTCTGGCAGAGCGGTTCCCGCCTCATGCATGCCTGTAGGCGATCGACAAAAAAAGGGAACGTTGAAATATGAAACCGCCCTCAAATATATACATACCAACTGGTTACGTGGGGATTGACTAAATGAACTCGGCCTTCCCCTTCAGCATTGGCGTCAACAGAAATACCATCCCTACGAGCAGACACATTCAGCGCTGTGCCAGCCACTCGGTCTGTCGGGGGCATGAGGCCCCCAAGCAACCACTTGCTCTCTGGGGTGGCTCTCTTAAGGTAGATTTTGCGTAAGCGTACTTTTCTCCTTTTATTTTGCTCTTCGAGGTGAACTCATTACAGCGCCTACGCACTTTACCCCTTCGTGCCCCATCGGGCCATTAACACGTGGAGCTGTGACCGGCGCGTCGCGTGTGCTTTTGCTTGCCTTTCAGGACCACTACTGATTAGACTCCAGAAACTGCCTTATTAGGATTATTTATTTTTCTTCCCCTTGCCAACCGCCGCGGCAAATGCTGCGCAACGGCGTTAGTGCACAAAGTACAATCTGCCTGAACAGGCAATGCTGCTCGCCGCGATATGAAGGGCTTCGAATGAGGAAGATGAGCAGCTAGATGCTGCAGCAGGTTCTTTTGGACGGTTTTCCAGGTAGATTTCGGTACCCCTGCGGTTGTGACTGTCATCAGTTTGTACAGCCGTATGCAGACTGCTGCCCGGTGTACAGCGCGTGCAAGACGAGCGCGCCGACGCAGCCTGCTATGCGCAAAGCTTCTTGCCAGTAGTGTGCTGCCAGGATAGGTGCCATCACCCACAGGAAATACAGTGTTTTGGAAAGCCAAAATCTTAGGTCCCATAGCGTGGGAACCCACAGAACCCTCCTCTTGTCTAGTGTTGGCCACACCGCTTAAGGATGGATAACGCTTCACCCGATCCATCGAAAGGTGCGGGGCTGCTGATAGACGCTAGTGGGACGGGTGGGAAGGAGGTGTACGAGTACACCCCTGACCCAGGTTCCCTATTTATTCACGACGGCTCGTCTCAAGAGGGATTTGACAGAGGTGAGGTAACCTCGTGTACAGACTTTCTGCGTCTTTGCTTCGACGGAGAGTTCATGAATGATTGGGAGGCATATGTGTATTTTCGTGTGCGTGCATTCACTCACTATTGTCCCGTTCCCAGTTCATCGGAAACGCAGTCGAAGTAGGCTGCATCGTTGCATATGGTGGAAGTGTATGAAAAGCAGACATAACGCAGCATTTGCTGACGTTTGGAGCAAGTAAGTTGTCCTCCTTGTTCTTCAGATGCGTATCGGCTAACTAGAGGTGTGAAAGAAATCGACGACTCGGAGGTCAGCCCGAGTACTGCCTACGAGTTTTTCAGGGGTAATTATCAAACAGTGCCTCTCCAACTAATCACCTATTCGCGGATGACCGTAGTCGGGCACTTGAGAGGCGACACAAAACGGCTGGAGTGGTGGCTATGTAGGGTCCGTGCAGTACTTGCACAAGGAGCGGCGTACGTTTCTCTGGAAGTGAAGGGGAAGTGGATATCACGTGCGCATTCAAGATGGCGCATTGGAGGTGTATGCTGTTCTTCAGGGAAAACGTACAAGAGCACTGCCTTCCGCAATGGCTTCTCCCCGCGTCGGGGGTGGGGCCCAACGGACTCGGGCCCGTTGGAGGTGCGGGGCCAACGGATGCTACACGCTGCCCCTAAGAGCAGCCGCGCAGGCGAAATGGGATCGGTGAGTAGGACGGGAAGGGCACTTTTCTTCTGAGACTGCAGCTTTCTCATCTGCGGACTTCATCCCAAGGCCCGTGCTTTTTGCGTGAGACGAGCGGTTGCTGGGACAGGGAGCAAAAGCCGCACTTGCCTTATTCCCTCATCTTGCTCGTAATTTGGTGCCTCGGGCGTAGCCCTCCTCGCTTGGGGTCGTTTCACAGTTGGATGGGCTGGCTATTCTCTTTGTATATGAAGCACGTAGGGGGATGGATTGGGGCTAGCGCTTGCCTGCCGACAGCTTCTACCATGTGAAGTGCTGGTGGGTGTTGGTAATCTGCGGGTGTGAGCGTTTCGTGCTGCTTGATGTGCTGGCTGGGTTGCATGTCTTAGATGGATTCGGCTGTCCGAGGCCTCCCCGAAAGCTCCTTCGAAACGCCTATAGGGAGGCTGAAACGGCTACAGGGAGAAGTGGAGGAGATGCTGGAGTTTGTTTCTTCTTTCCTTGTGGAGGAGAGAGCGCCAGCTTCGGAGCGTTCTGAAGGGCAGTCTGTCGGCCAACAGGAAGCAGCTTCAGAAGGATCGAGAGATACGAAGCACTTGGGAACCCACCACGTGCACTACCACACCCGCCGTCTCCCACCGGCTGCTCAGGAGGCCCTTCTCTTTGGCCGTGACCCCATATCTCTCATAGAAGAACTGAAGAAGCTGCGCATGCAAGTATGGCGCTTTGGTAACAGACTTGTTAGGAAGCCTGCGGAAAGCCCTGTTGAATGAATGTGCATCAGTCGCTTTTCCCGACTATTGTACAACAACATCATAGGCAAGAAACGAGCAGAGTATGTGCGTATGTAAGAAGAAGGCCTGGTGACGATGGTCTTGGCCGCGCTTGGTGTCACGAACGACCCTCAGGGGCTCAATTCTCCTCACCAAGACTTCTTCTTAGAGACGCACATACTTTGCATACTTATTTCCTCTGAGGTTGTTACTGCCGAGCTTTTTATTCGTCTGCCTTCCCTGTCGATTTGCCTGTGGGGTGCGAGGTTACGAGCGTGCTGAGCGACGAGAGGACGGAAGCGCTCGTGTCTCAAATCGAACCTGTTACTGGCATGCGTTCTGGAGCAGCCTTGCTGCAGGAGCATCTCGCTGCAGCTTCTGCACAGCTGCGACGGACGCTTGCCGGTGAAGGAAGAGAGGCCTCGTCTTCCTCAAGAAGCGCTGCACGTGAGCCTCTCACGACAGAGTCTGTCCAACTCTCGTGGCCGTGACGCATACAGAACCAGCAGCTGAACGTAGGTAGCACTGCGGGAGCGTCTTTTCTTGCAGCAAGAAGTGCCACGGCTTCGGTTTTAGCCACGTTGAAGAAGCCTAGCCATACGACTGCTGAAAACAGAGAGGAGGGGGGGCAAGCAGGCCGCACCACTTCGTACGAGGTGTATTGCGTGCCTTCACTGTCCCCAATTATGGAGCAGAGCCGCATCACTTCCCTGGAGCGGCGACTAGCGTTTGTGGAGAACAAAATGGGCATCCAGAAGATGAGTCTTCTTCCGCATGCTGACCTCGTCGAGGCAGTTGGCGAAATGCAAGAGCGCATGAAACTGCTGGATCAGCAGAAGATCGAGAGTCTTCAAAAACGTGTCCAGGTAAGGCAGCGACGGAAGTGATAAGTGAACCATAGAGCCAACAAGTCCATAGACTGAAGGCTGGGGTGGGAGGTTGGGTCTCCAGGGGGCACCGGAAACAAGAGGCATAGGGTTGTGAAGTCGTATGCAGGCGGAAGTAAATGACCCATGAGTTGCTACTGCTGCGACGCTGCATGCAGGCGTTGCTGCTAGAGCTACATGCCCTCCAGCAGCGCCGCCACGAACTAGATATGGCAGCGGAGGGCTTAACCGTCTCCTCCGGTGCTGGGGGGATGGAACCAGGGAAGGGGATTGCGAGTGGCGCAGCACCTTCGAGTGACTGGCAGCGCGTCGAGGAGCTGTACGACATATGCGAGAGGTGGAAGGCACCAGCAGCCCTTCTACCGTCGGTTCTGCAAAGGCTCAAGCTCCTCAAGGGCATTCATCAAGAAGCCGGTGGTGTGGCCGTCCGTATATCGGGTGCGTGAGCACTTTGCGGAGGTCTAGTGAAGGTTTGAGATGCACAGTTTGGAATGAGGTGTCTATGATTATCTTTTGGTAATCTGCGATTACCATTACTATTATGCGATTACTATTCCGGAACTAAAGTGGCCATCTATCATGCATCGTGTTGCTGGAATTGTTCAGAACGCATTGTTTAGCGCGGGCTTGACAAGCAAACTTTGTGCTGTGGATGAGGCTGAGCAGCCAGGAACGCGCTCGGAAGCACGGCAAAATTAAAGCTCTTGCAGTCGGTTGTGGCAAATAGGCTAGGCATAATACGTGTTTGTTTTGTGCAGTGCTGGAGAAGCAACAGGAGGAGCTGCAGGCCTGGGTCAGACGGGCAGACGAGGCGGTCACCCAACTGCAGAAGACGGTCGTAGATAGCGTTGGATGGGCGCAAAAAACAGTTGCGCAGATGCAGCAGAGGCTGGCAGCTGTGGCTGTAGAGCCGCCACCAACGGCAACCGACGTATAAGACAGCGGCGAGCCTTCCCCTTCCTCTCCTTGAGTGCACACGACCACCCGGGGGTCCCATTGTCCCTCCTTCAATCATAACAATGCGAGCCCGTACAAACACCGCCGCCCGCTAACTGTACAAGCACCCCCGCATGGTAGGCGCGTGCTGTTCCTGCTTTAGCCGCCATTTGCGGGCACGTACGTGAGCAGTGTCGTTTTGGTCGTGATACAAACCGAATTGCTAGAGCGGCATACCACCCCACACTTCGCAGTTCCCGGCGACGAACTTCAGTGGTTGAGGCGTCGTTCTGCTGGCAAGAGAATATAAGAACAGATTCCTAGAAAACGTCAGGGCGCTTTTGAAGCTCCAGCGCAAAAGGGACCTCTAGGCGCCAGGTTAGCTTCACACCGCACTTGGGAGTCTAGTGTGCTGCTTAGAGGGCTGCCTGCATCTGCCAAAACCTCAGCAAATGCTAAGAGCTGCCACTGCTGCCCCACGGGGCCTGTATGCAGCCCCAGCACTGGAGGCCTTTACTGTTTTGCAGCGCCCTTGCAGAGCCGTGCATCTCTTGAGAAGAAAGATGGAAGTGGAAGGGGTAATGAGGCTCCCCCCGGTTCATGACAGCCCCAGTGGACGGCCTGTCGGTGCATGAGGCCCCTCTGCATCAGCTGCAGAAGGGGCAGCTTGCTGTGAGTTCCCTGGGCTTCTTCGCTCGACAGTAGCGAGGTGATAGGCAATAACCCTAGCCTCTGTCTGGGCAGAATATCTGTACTGCAGCAGCAGACATCTGCCTGCGCAGTTTAAGCGTCGCGCCTTGCGCACAAAGTCTATGGAGTGGCTTCTGCCCAGTACGCGCCCCTCCAATGTCAACTCCAGCGCCGTCTCTAGATCCAGCGGGCCCTCAGAGGAAGAGAAGTACTGTTCGCCACGCCGGCTGCATGCACCGCCTCCCGCATGCGCGCTGGCATCCCTACGGGGCGCCCTCGAGGGGCCCCCCAGGAACAGGAGCGGATGCAGCTGCGACGCCAGGTACCGCAGCACAAGCTGTACAGACATGCGGCTCGGCACGCGCAAGTACGGCCGGTCAATGTGTGGAAGCTTCAAAGGCAGCCCCAGAAGGTCCTGGGATTCCTGGGGCCCAACCACGACGCCTGGGTGGCCTTCTGGTAGGGCCTGAGAGAGTTGAATGGTTTGATACTGCACACGGGCCTCCATAAGCTGGCCCTGATATGTGTCTGGCAGCAACGCAATGGCGGCTGTTTGCTGCTCATCAAAGCAAACAGCGGAACCCAGCAGCTGGTCAACGAACTCGTCGAGTGACTGCTGCAGCTGTGCCTGATGCTGCTGACTTCGTGCAGTCGTACTGCTGCTACGCAAGCCCTCGCGATGCTCCCTGGGCCTTTCGCCGCACGATACACTGTCGGTTTGCTGCTGCCAGTGCTGCTGCTGCTGCTGGGGTTCCGGGGGGAGGGGAGGTTCTAGAGGATGAGATCCACGGGCTTCCTCTGTAGCTGCCCTGGCTTCTAGTCGTGCTCGTCTGTGTGAGATGCCCTCGCGTCTGAAGGGGCCGGCTGACGAGAGAGTCCCTAAAAGGTATTCGGGAGGCAGCTGTTTGTGCTGATGCTGTTGCATGAAGCGCTGCAGCTCCTCTTCCTCTAGGCGCTCCTGCTGGGCAAAGTGTGGAAACAACTTATCAACGACATTCTGCATAGTGCGGTCAAACAGCACTGCAGCGTTTGCTGCTGCTGCTGCTGCTGAGGCTCCGCTGCTGTTGCTGCTGAGGCTCACCACGTTCCCCGCACCCGCTACGCATGCTGCTGTTATTCGAGGCATGTAGTGTCTGGAATCCTTGCCTGCTCCTGCACAGCCCCGAAAAAAGCTTACGAAACCAAGTTGTTTTTAAAGGCTCAGTGCTTAGAGGGTAGCTGCGCTAAGCCGCACTAGGCGCACAATAACCTGCACATGCAAAAACACACAGGGGTACTAAAGCCTCACCATCTCTATGCGGCGTCATTAGCTGCATGTCCCTTTCGCAGTAAGGGCAGCACACTTCTTCTGTTTCCGCGCCCTCGACGTAATCGTACAGACACCACCGGCAGAACGTGTGGAGGCACTCTTTGATGGTGACTGCATCTCTGAAGTAGCCATTGCATAGAGGACACCGAAACATCTTCTCCACAGCTTTCAAAGGGAACGAAACATCGAGGCCCTCGTCCCCCTCAAACGCTATGCACTGCTCCCCCTCTGAATCCTCGGATTCCGTTGCGGCAGGTGCAGGACTCCGGTGCAACGGCCCCCCCACCCGTCCTCTCTTCTGGCGCCTGGACACCTCTGCAGCAGCAGGAACAGCGGCATCGCTCGAAGGCTGCACTGACACAGCTGCGGATTCAGCTGATGCAGGCCAAGCAGGCCGCGTCGTGGGCCGGGGCGAACGCTGCATTAGGAGAAACGGGAGGTGTGTTGTAGCCGCAGGAGCTGCCTACACCTGTCCATACAGGCCAAACTGACTCCATAATGCGTCAAAGCAGCGAGGGGCGATTCACAAAATTCGTCTTTGAACCCTCTCCAGACAGCACGAGGAGCGGTGAACAGCGTGAGGTGTTGCGAGCAAGCGGGAGAAAGGATTATTGGCTTCAGTCACCAACTCCACTGCATATTCAACTAAAGCAAGGCTCCTGATATACTTTAAGAGTGCAAGGCGGAGTAGCAAGAAAGACGCACAGCATCTGCAGCAAGGATCACCCCAATGCCTCACCGAAGCGGGGATCCCATTGTACGTGTCGATATGGGGCCTCCTAGTTGCATCTTAATCCCCTTTGTAAACACCAGTTTATTAATGAAAAGGGGAAAAACGAAGACTACAGCATGTCTAAGACTTAACCCAATCGCCGCTGACGCCGGGGCTTCTTCATCAAGCTCTAGGGGGCCCCACTGGGGCCCCCACACTATTATCTATTAGACAAATCCACCTTGCAATTAACCCTACTTATCTTTCTGAAGTATTCTCTTCTATATGGTGTGAAGTAGATGGGCTTCTCTGTCGCTTCTTTACTGCGGTGGCGTCCTTCCATCCCTCCCAGCTGCTGGAGTTGACTGCAACAGATATATGAAGTATGCAAAGAATAAGGGAGTTTGGCTTAACATACGCCAAAAGAGGGGCGAGTTTGTTGAGGGGGGGAGGCAGGCTTCAGAATTTAGTTTCAGCACTGCTTTCTTCCCTTGAATCACAGCCGGCGTTATGTTGGTTAACCGGCTGCACATAGTCATACCCGGTTCCTTGCTCTCGTTCGTCCATAAGCTTTAAAACTTAGGCCATAAACCCTAAGTCATAAACTTAAACACATCATCTAAGGCACTTTTGGCTCTCCTATTCAGCCCTGAAAGAACAAGGGCGCTACCACGGGCTCTTCCCTTCCTGTTTTCTACAGTACATCTTGCAGCGCAGCAGCCCATGCAGTGGTGTGAATAAGCATGAACTCGACACAGCCGATACAGAATCCGGCGCAGCAGCAGCAATTGCTGCTGCTGCAGCAACAGCAACAGGCAGCACAACAGCGGCTCGGGCAGCCGGTACTGCAGCAGCAAATGCCACAGCAGCAACACCCATTAATGCCGCCCCACGGCCATCCCGCAGCTCTGCAGCAGTCAATGCTGCAGAATCCCCAGCAAATAACTGCGCATCAGCAGCAGCAACCCCAGGTGCAGCAACAGCTGCAGCAGCAGTTGCTGCAGCAGCAGCAGCAGCAGCAGCCGGCACATTTAAGCTCCCTTCACGGAATATCGCAGCAGCACTTCCCCCTTCAGTCGCAACCCATGTCCATGCAGCGCTTGCAGCAGCAGCAATTTATGCGGCGTTCTCCCGTGCAGCAGCAACTAGCACAGCAAGCACCGATGCAGCTGACGCAGCCCCTACAGCATCTGCAGCAGGTCCATCCGCAAGAGCAGCAGCACGCGATGTCCAGCCCACAGACGCACTTCTTGCAGCGGCAGCAGCAGCTTCACTCCGGGCAGCAGCAGCATGGGCATCACCAGCAGCAAGGATGTTTGCAGCAGCCACCGCAGCTGAGCCACCAACAGTTGCAGCACCAGCAGTTGCATCAGCTTCATGCGCACCATGCGCTACTTCAGCAGCAGCACGCGCAGCATGGGGATGCAGCTGGTCTGTCGCACCTGGGGACCCCCAAGAGTGGCAACAGCAGCACCAGCGCAGCTGGCTCGGGCATGCTGCCAGTGCCTCCGTTAGGAAACCGTCCTTATTCTGGCCGTCTCCACCCTCAGGGGGGAGGCCCCTCTTCTAGCATCATTCTTGCAGCGGCCCCTATGGAGGCAGTGCAGATAGCAGCGCGGCCAGGAAGTTCCTCCACAGTGGCCGATCTAGTGAGGGAGGCGATGGAGGCAGCGGAGGCAGCGGAGGCGACAGACCCCGAAACAGACTTCTACGGCGCAGCCAGAGAGGCAGAGCGGGGATTTTCAGTTCATGATCTTTTGGACTTCACAGAAGACAGTGAGGGAGCCCCTCAGGAACGCACAGAGGGGCGGGCGTAGACATCAGCTTTTGCAGCTCTGGTGTGGGGGAGAGGGGAGAGCAAAGAGCGCAATTGCTGTCAAGAGAGAGTCTTGAAAAGCGCAAGAGTTCAGGGTGTCCCTCTGTGGGTGCGGGGCCTTGTAAAAATAAGCGGAGGCCCAACTGTGTGGTTTGGGATTAGAGCTCCCGAACAGGATGGCTGCCGCTCAGTGGATGCATCCGTATTGAGAGTGTTTTTTGCGTATTTCCCCGCTTTTTAATTTCGCGATGTTGTGGCTTTTGCTGTCTTGCGCCGCCTCCTGCAGTTGCGGCCCTCATGGAGGCCTTCATGAACCCCGAACTGGCTGTGGCGGCAGAGGCGTTGGAGCTTACCGTGCAGCTGGCGCTTGACTTCATCGATGATCTTGTGAGCGAGACCTTGCAAGCATGCATTCGCCTCCGTGGCTGTTTCCACCCCCACAACTTCCAGACAGGACGGGGTAGGAGGTAGTGCCTGCAGAGGTTGTACACAAAAATGTGTGGAGCCCATCAAGCGCAGATCTGTGTAGATAGCGAATGCGGCTCACGACGCACGCACGCACTGGAAACGGTGGGGCTTATTGCTCTGCATCTGGTGGGGTGGTAGTGTAAAAGAAAGGCTTGGGGAGAGTGTGTCTGTGCAAGGTTTTGTGGCGGTCGGTGGGCCCAATCTTTGTGTGTAAATAAAACATCAATTTTTCTGAGTGATTGCTTGTAGTGCTGAGTACGCATGCGCATGTGCTTGGGGTGATTGGGCAGGTGGAGAAGGGAGTAGAGCATCGGCGACAGCAACAAGATGGGGTGCGGCGGCCTCGGGGATCTCGTCGGCGTCTCCCTCAACTGCTTGCTGAGGATTTGTTAGCTGCCCTACGCACGCATCCGCGAAAGGAGTTGAGGTGCAAAGAGGCTCTTGACAACTACAGACTGTTAGAGGATTTTAAGCTCGCCTTCCCAGAAGACAGATACCTCTCCACCCCTGCTCAAGGACAGGCTCAGCCCCTCGTTTCCCCCGGAGGCAGCACAGCACCCCCAGGGCCCCAACCGTCGGGATCCAACGTCGCCCCTCCTCAAGCCCCCCTTCAGGACCCGCCTGCGCCGGCTCAGCCACAGGGGCCCAACACCCCGCTCGATAACGTAGCGGGGAGACAAAGGCCACCCGCTGCAGGGGCTGGCACGTCTACACACGTCGCAGATCCCCATGGCCTCACAGCGAGCCCAACAATTCGAGCGCAGCGACACGATAGTGCGACGTCTGAAAACCGTCCACGACCCACCCAGGCAGCCCCCAGTGGCTTGCCACTGAATCCTTAAGCATAACCCCTAGGTTCAGGGAGTAAGGGATGACAGTAAATGCAAGTAAGGGCAATGCGATGGAAGGCACGGGTTGCGCTCAACCCTCCTCGTACGCTTCGCGCTCGTTCATTTTTTTTTTCAATGAGATGCTGTAGTAGGCTTGAGACTTAAGGCCTATCATTTCTAGTCCTAGAGCAACGAGCGCAACCTGGTTTGACCGCGTAGACGTAGACAGCATGCATCATGAGAAATGATTCGCTTTTCGAGCTCCTGGTTCTCCAGGGCCTATCTGTCGACTCAGAGGCAGTTCATGAAGACAACAGTTACAAGGGTGGCCATCTGAGCAACTCATTGCAACAAACAGGATAGATCCTAGCCAGTAGCATTGTGTAGAGTGCCTAAATAGAGTTCTTGAGCGTCATGAACAAGGCGTGCGAGTGAATGCTTGCTGCGTGCTCCTTCACTAGAGCCACACAACCAGCAGGCAGGCTCAGGAATTCTTCTGCGTCACGCAGAACGCAGCCTGACACGTACGGCATACCCAGTCTAATCGAAGGCCACCATGATCATAAAGCTGCAGCTTGCAGTCTTCATTTTCTATGCACGCGCACTGGATACGGGGGCTCGGAAACCTCGCTGACCAGAGGAGCAAGGAGATTGAGAATCCTGCCGGGGAGGCTTCTTGAAGTTCTTGCGGGGAGTCACCTGCCTCGTAATCATATATATATATATATATATATATACGTAAAATACGAGAAATAGTATTTCCTTTTCATATACGTCAGTGTGGTGATTGCCCACACCATTGCGAGTCCCCCGTACAAAATCCGATGGAACAGCCAAAAGCCAGTAAAAGTGCAACATTGGAATCATTAGCGGGAGTGCTGAATAAATTATGCAAAGCATTAATGCGGGTTTATGCAAATGGCCCGAGGGCAGTAATTGCCGATTTAGCTCAGTCGGTAGAGCGCCAGCCTTTTAAGCTGGTGGTCGCGGGTTCGAGCCCCGTAGTCGGCTAGCGAGTCTTTTCCGCTTTACCTTCTTTGTTGTCTTTTGAGTCTTCCAGCTGCCCAAACTATTGCTTGCTCCTATTGATGTACGTCTTGTAAACGTGTAACTACACCTTTGGAATTCGTTAGCAGTCCTCCTGTCTGCACCCCAGTCAATAGATTCGCCGGCTAGGGAAAAACCCTAGATCCTGCTCCACCCGCTATAGATCTGGGTTACTATTCCCCTTCTAAGAGAAGCTTTTTTACCTTTGTTTTATTGTTTTAATCCGAAGAAGTACAGGATAGGGCATCTCAACAGTTTGACGACAGGTGGGACAGCATATGGCGCTCGAAGTGCCCCCCACTTGCTGGCCAACACCAATTAAAGCCGTCGGAAGCGGTGGGAGCGTTAAGCTTTGAGTGAGTTGTGTTGGTGATAAGACAAGCCAGGCACCATCGGGAGCCTTTGCCCTCCAGCTCGATGGGTGTAGGGGCCCCTGACAGCGGCTCTCTCCAGAGCAAGACCTGCGTTGAATCAAGCCTGTCAGAAGTAGGGGAGGGAACAGAGGGAGTGCTACGGGGTTCGACTGAACCTCCACACCAATTCGTAGGCTCTTCAACTACTCAAATAGCCCATCAGCAACAGATGAGCGCAAGAGCCCCGTTGCTCCTCACGCCGCGGGAAGTGGAAGATATCTCGGAGCTTTGCTTGCAAGTTATCGTTGAACACGAGGCTGAGAAAGCATCTATCTCTTCGCCAGCTCCACTGCAACGTCCGACAAACGCAAATTCAGTCCCCGCAGCCACCACAGGGAGTCATGGGAACGGCCAGATACCGAGTGGTTCGCAGGCTGACTTAGGAGAGGGCACAGAGCGCAGTCTCAGCCATCCGTCCAGCAACCCCGGGCCCTTTGCTGCTTATGAGGCCTTTACGCATGCAGCTGCCCAGCAGCTGCATGCCACCAGTGCAACAGACAGCGGCGAAGCGTCGCAAGACCCCTCGGTGCCGGAGCAGGTCAGTGATGCAGCAGCAGGGTTTGCTTGGGCTGGCTGAGATAGTTGACAGAGCCCGCATCCGTGCCTCACCACTAGGAGCAACCTATGCGCCCTTCCAGCAGCAGTCAGCAACATATCCAGCAACAGATGCTGCTGCTGCAGCAAGAACAACAGCAGCAGGAAGCACAACACCAATAGTGCGGTGTTCTCTGGGCGAAGATTAAGGAGCCTTACTTTGTTGTAGATGGGTCTAGCTGTTTGCAGGACGTGAATCTGTATGCAACGCGCACTATTACTGTTCTGCTGCTTGCCGGGCCGTCTCCAACGCGCGTAGAGGACTTGAGGCGTTGCTGGATGGCCCCCCCTATGCAACTTCGAAAGAGGAACTTCACCGCGCTAGTCCTTGGTAAGGGATGCGTGTGTTCTGCTGGCTCTGACACATTTCCGTGTGTGAACAGGAATTTTTGTTGACCCAAATGCACGCTCGTTGTCGATTTTTCTTTGCTATTTTCTCTTGACTCCGTCAGCGTGTAATGGATTTGTCTTTCTGTTTGGCTGCTGTCTGTTTCACGCAAAGTTTTCCATTCTTTACGCTGGCGGTGGACTGGCAGCGTATGTGTTGCGTGGCCCTTTAACCTCACAACTCCACAAACGAACATCTGCGTGGGAGCGCACATACCGTTGAATGCACCTTTACAGTCAGTGGGGCTCAACTAAGCCAGAAGCAGCAGCAGTAACAGAAACTGAGCGCGTTCTTGCCTTTTCGAGTTGCTGCTATAGGGGTGCGAGTCCCCGACAGCACTGACTCGACCAGTTAGCGGGCTGAACTGCTCGAGTAATTGATAGGCTGAGCGATTGTGCTTTTGATGGACATATCTCTGCTTCTTTTGCAGGCCGTACTGCAGCCATCGCTGCCTCCGGCTTCGGCCTTCAGCTCCAGTCTTTTCAAGTGAAAGGTACAGATGGCCCCGCCGTGGTGGTTGTTGTTATCGATGCCCTCTAAGCAGATACTAGAAGCGTCGGGGACCTCCTAGTTGCTGAGAGCTATGCTACCAGTTTTAGTTGTTCAAATATTTCACTCCAGATAAAGCATGCCTTGCAGGAACGAAGTACGTCGTGTTCAGTCAAGGGCTTCGTTTCGGGCCTCACCTTCAGCTCGTTCGTTCAAGACGTAAGCCACCACGCATGCATGTATATATATATATATATATATATATA